CTGGGTCATATGGTAACTCTATTCTTAATATTTTGAGGAATCGCCAGACTGCTTTCCATAGTGGTTGTACCAGTTTACATTCCCACCAGCAATGAATGAGGGTTCCCTTTTTTCCAAAACCTCTCCAACACTTACTGCTTGTCTTATGGATAATGGCCACTCTAACAAGTATAAGGTGGTAGGTATCTCATTGTAGTTTTCATTTGCATTTCCCTAATTGCCAGTGAGGTTAAACATCTTTTCATGTATCTATTGGTTGTTCATATGTCTTGGGAGAGGTGTATTTTCCTTGGTGCTTTCTATTTTGAAAAATTACTGATTCAGCTTCTTAAATAGATATAGTCCTATTCAGATTGTCTTGAGTTTTGGCAGATAGTGCCTTTCAAGGAATCAATCCATTTCACCTTGGCTATCAGGATTGTGGCCATGGAGTTGTTCATAATGTTCTTTTATTAACCTTGTAATTTCCATGGGATCTGTAGTGATATTCCCTCTTTTATTGCCAATATTAATAATTTGTGTCCTCTCTGTTTTACCTAGCCTAACTATAGGCTTGTCAGTTTTGTTCATCTTTTCAAAGAATTAGTTTTTTATTTCATTAATACTCTGTATTGATTTCTGTTCTAATTCTTATTCTTTTCTTGTTTTGGACTTAATTTTTTTCTGCTTTGCTAAGGTGGGAACTTACATTATTGACTTTAGATGTTTCTTTTTTTCTAATTACATGCATTCAATGCTATCAGTTTCTCTCTAAGCACATGTTTTACTGCATTCCATAAAGTTTGATCATTTGTTTTTATTTCCATTTAGTTCAAAATACCTTTTAAGTTTCTTCAGATTTCTTTGTGACCCATGATGTATTACTTTGAAGTATGTCATTTAAGCTACACGTATATTGGGATTTTTAAATTACCTTTCTCTTACTCATTTATAGTTTAATTCCTTGTGGTCTGAGAGCAGACATTGTATAAAGTCTTTTATTTTTATTTTTTTTGCTAAGATCTGTTTTTTTACCCAAAATGTGGTCTATCTGGGTTAATGCTCCATGAGAGATTGAGAAGAATGTGTATACTGCTGCTGGGTTAGTAGTCTGCAGATGTCCATTATATCCAGTTGATTGACAGAGTTAATGTGTTCAATTTGTCCTTAGTGATTTTCTGCCTGTTGGATCTGTCCATGTCGTCTTCACCTACAACAATGGGTACATCTATTTCTCCTTGCAATTCCAACAGTTTTTGCCTCATGTAATTTGACACACTTTTGTTAAATACATACTTGCTAAGGATTGTTATGTCTTCTTGGAAAATCGACCCTTTTATCATTACATCATTGCTCATATGTTGTTCTTATAGACAACGTATACTTGGGTCTTATTTTTTTATTCATTCTTCAATGTCTTTTAATTAGAATATTTAGGTCATTATGTTCAAAGTGATTACTGATACAGTTGAATTAATCTCTATCATATGTGGTACAGTTTTCTGTTTGTTACCCTTGATCTTCATTTCTATTGTTGTATTTCAATTTTCCCAAAGTCTTTTGTGGATTTATTGACCACTAGAGGCCCGGTGCATGAAATTCGTGCATGGGGTCTGGTCCCTAGGCCTGGACAGCTATCGAAGCTCGAGCGTCTGGCATGGAACGGCAGATCCCAGCTGACCTCTGGACCCTGGGCAGCACCTGGGCCCCCCAGATCCCCACACACCCCCCTCTGCCTGAGTCATGGTGCCCGAGTACCCACGCAGAGATGCGGTGAGCACGGCCAGACGCCGTGGGCTGGGGTGCAGCGTGGGCCTCTGGGCTGCCCAGCGGTGCTGCACAGAAGCCAGGCGGGCAGTATGCTCTCTCCCAGCTCGCCTCGCAGACCGGCTCCTGCACAAACCCACAGGGATGCTGACCGGCCCCTGTGGTCCCGGCTCACCTGGAAGAGGCTGTGCGGGCGCGGGGCGGGCTGCTCGCAGGCGCCTGGCACCTGAGCATGGGGGCTTCCCCGGCACGCAAGCCCTGGCTTCCCGGGGGAGGGAAGCAGGGGGAGTTAGAGCGATCTCAGCAGACACCCCACATTCTCACCACACCTCTTTCCCTGTCACCCCTGCTCCCAGGTAGCTGGCAAGAGTTCGCAGCGCGCCGCAGATGCCCGCCATGTTCTGCACTGCCCCCTGGTGTTCAATGCACATCATAGCGAGCGGTCAAACTCCTGGTCTCTCAGTCGAACTACCGCCCAAGGGGACAATTTGCATATTAGGTTTTTATTATATAGGATTTTATATGATTTCATTCTCTCCTTTTTTGCATATCAGTTATTTTTTTAAAAACTTTTTTTAATGGTTGCTTGACAGTTTACCATATACATTTAAAATTAATTCATGTCTATTTTCAATAATACTAAACCACTTTGTAGGTAGTGCAAGTATCTTATGTAGTAAAATAATCCCAATTCCTCCCTCCCATCCCTTGTATCATTGCTGTCATTCATTGATATATATATAAAAGCATACAAGTATATTCATACTAGAGGCCTGGTGCACAAAATTTGTGCATGGGTGCACAAAATTTGTGCATGGGTGGGGTCCCTACGCCTAGCCGGTGATCAGGGCCAATCAGGTTACCCGCCTCCTTTCCTCACCGCCACCACGCAGTTCCCCGCCTCGCCGCCCATGCGCCACCACCACGCGGTTCCCTACCTCCTCACCTGCCCCCTCCTCTTTCCCTCGCCGCCCATGCGCCGCCACTGCGCAGTTCCCCACCTCCCCCCCTCACCGCCCACGTCTGCTGCTACCCACCTCCAGTTCCCCATCCCAGCCTGGGGCCTGGCCCCGATCAGGACCTCCCAGCCCGGGGGAGGGATGGGGAGAGGGACCTAGGAGGTTGACTGCCAGCCCTCTGCCCCCCTGGGAAAGGGGCTGCGTCTGCCACCACCCACCCCCGGTTCCCTGTCCCATCCAGGGTGAGGGCCTGGGAGGTTGGCCGGCAGGCCCCATCAGCGATCAGGGCCTGCAGGCTGGGGGCAGCTTCTGCATTGAGCATCTGCCCCCTGGTGGTCAGTGCGCATCATAGCAATCAGTCGTTCTGTCATAACGGTCGCTTAGGCTTTTATATACAGTATATAGATATATATAATTGTACATTATCAAGTACACTGCTGCTGTCTTTTTGAACAAACTTTTGTTAGATCAATTAAAATAAGAAAAATAAAAAGTTTTATTTTATTTTTACTTATTTTTTTTTCCTTTGGTACTCTTTCATTCTTATGTAGATTCAAGTTTCTGATCTATATTATTTTCCTTCTCTTTAAATTTAGAACTGTTAACATTTCCCGTATTGCAGGTCTACTGGCAACAAATTTCCTCGATTTTTGTTTGCCTGAGAAAGTCTTTATATCTGTCTCCTTTACTTTTGAAAGATAATTTCACAACATACAGAATTGTAGGGTTGGGCTTTTTCTCTCATACTTTATAAATGTTTCACTCCACTCTCTTTGTCCTTGC